TTTCTTTTCGTACATTTTAATAAATGTTGCAAAAGAAAAATCAAACGAAGAAAGAAAGTACAATTTGCGATGCATGTTGAATATTTCATTCAATTCACTCACATTACAGTGCGTATAAAACGATTATTGTGTGAACTGTCAGAGTCACACGTGACTTGAACAGAAGTGTCGCGCGCAGATGAATGTAGAGAATGAGAGTTAACCTCTATAGCCAATGCGATCTTTTTTCGATTCCTTTCCTTTCTATGCAATTGTCTTTAGATTAAATAAACGAAAAGCACCTCAATCAATGGATCAATCAATAAATTTTTTATGGTTTTTAATTTCTTTTATTTTTTTTTTTAATTTTAGTTGAATATTGTTCCGTAAATTGAAAACGTATAAGATGATAATTGAAAAAAAAACTTGAAAATCGAAAAAAGAGAATTCAATAAAGAGTAATAAGTTTTAGGAGCATAGAAAATACTGTAGTTTGTCAAAGCCGAGGATTTAGGTCTGATATAGAAAGTCTCGACAGTGAAAAATGTTTAATAACCACACAGGATTGAGAAGCGTTCACTCGTATTGTCGACAAAGCAATGAGAGAAAAAAAAGCATCCATGTGTTTCCATCACGGTTTCATGAAACAAAAATGATCGCCGTTTGCCAAAGTAAAAAAGAAGTATTGGAGAGAGAAATTTGGCTGTTCTTTTATATGCTACAATACAACCATCTATGTTGGGCAGAGTTGTCTAGTTTCGACCAGCTTACAATAACGACGAACACTGGTTTTCCATCAGATAGTAATACTTTTTTTTTTAATAACAAATGAAAATAACATGTTATACTATATACTAATCAATTCTCTTTCAATTAATGTTTTATTGAAAATTTCAAGAATCTTTAACTCTTTTATTATAAAAAAATTAACTAAAAATTAGATATTTTTTTTGTTTTTAGTTTTTCTTTCAAACTATACATTAAAATTTTATAATTCTGCTAAAAATTTTATCATTTGATTAAAGGATTTTATTAGAAATATTGATAATTATTATTTACGAAAATTTATTTATATTGAAAAGCGAAAACGTTTCATAACCTCTTTTTTCTCTATATTTAAAATGTTAACTTATTAGAAGGATAGCAAATATTGTATTTGCAGAAGAGAGATTAACAAATTTATAAATAATATTTAGAAGAAAAAGAAATGTAAGAAATTAAGAAATATTTTCTATACTATACATTTATAACTATGCATTATATTCTCTTTTCAATTTTTTGAAGTTTATAATGATTATAGATTTCTTAAATCACTAGTTCTGACATACAATATCTCATTACTTTATTGATTTGATTGATTTTATGACTTCGCTATATCTCATCTTATACAATGATATAGTTTCATACTTATAAATATTATAGTTTTTGTATTACCGTTATCATTGATGAACAAGATTTAACCTCACTTTTATATTTGTTTATGCGATTCGCGATCGATTATTTTTTCTCATGACAATTTTTGTTAAAAAATAACTATAAGATAAATTTGAATAAGATATTGAAAAATATTTTTTTTATTTTTAACTTTTTATTGTGTTCCTTTTTAACTTATTTAATTTCCATTTTGTGTCCTTCATTCAAAGATGAAATGGATTCTATATAGTGAAACTATTCCGTACAGTAATTGTTAGTCGACAAGATATCAGATATGCGAAAGTACTAATGTTCGAACCAGTCAAGAGCTCTCAGATTTCACAACTGAGGGAGAGTTCCGTCTATTGACAGTTACATTTCCTCGAAGCTGTTCCTTTAACATGTTCTACGCTATATACCAATTGTTTCTCTCACTCATGTCATGTTATCAATGCCCATTGAAATCAGTATTTCAAATCCTGCTTTGAATATATATCTTTGATAGGATTATATCTATATGGCAGATTTGACACAATGAAGAAATAGGGATTATGTTGAATCAAAGATTTTTAATCGCAAGTTGTATTTAAAAAATAATGTCTTCCACTTATAATTTTTTATTAATATAAAAAAATTTGGAATAAAAATTTGGATAAAATAAAATTAAAATATGAATTGAATTTTGGAGAAAATGGTGGAAACAAAATATAAAATTGTAACTTCAATTATTTATTAGTTTGTAAGATATTTAATAAAAAATTTTTTATCCTATATGTATATGAATTATGCCTATATAAACGTTACAATTTAATATAATTTCGAGCAATATTATAATATTTGGGTTCATGCAGTAAAAATAACTTTCTTCCACAGCGAATTTCTATACGAATTTTCAAATATATAATATCACATTATTACCAATATTATTGCTATATTAAACAGAAATATATCACGTGACTAAGCTTCTACTAAAAACAAGCGTCGTGTTATGTCTCTACTTAATCTAGTAGTATCTCTCAATAATATGGACGTCATGTATTCTTTTCATACGGAAATTCATTGAAGAGAGAAATTGAATTATTCAGAGACATAGTCTTCATTTCGTAACTTTGGATCCAAGTTTATTGGGTTTGGTTTATAGTACTTCATTGAAAAGCAATTCAGAAAAATAAGTTTCAGAAAATATAAATCAAACTAAATAATCAAAAATAAGTTGAAATGATAGCGAAATCAGTTTAATATTTATTATCTATTATTGTAATTTCGGTCATTGTAACTTTAATCATCCAAGAATTATTTTATATTTTATTTTTTTATTTCACAAGAATTTTGAAAGAATTTTTAAACTTCGGAAAGAAATATTGTATATCATAATAGTCAATTTGAATTCATTTTAAAGAGTTAAAAATCTCAATTTTCACATAAAATTGAATTTTTCTGTTATATTTTCTTTTGAAAGCAATTCAAAAATTTAAAACATGTTTCAAATTTCACTTCGATTGAGAATATTTGGACTATAACACTGGATTTTATCGTTCTTTTTTAAATTTGCTTTTAATTTATTTAGATCAATAAAATATTCGACAAAATAAAAGGGACAATAATTCAATGGAAAAATAAAATTGAATTAATAAAAAAAATCAGGTTTCTAAACTTTCATTTTATTAAATATTATCAATTTATTAAATATTCAATTCTAATGAAAAAAATTTTTTTATACTAATTAGAACACAATTTTCAATAAATTGTTTTCCGAAACTTTCTGATAGAGTTCGGCATTGATCTGTTAAAAAAAATAATTAATTAAAAATTTCAAATAAAGTTATTTTAAATAATTATTTATTAAAATACTTGAATAACATTTATTTATAGCTATTATAATTTTTCCGCTCTTCATTCGATTGTTTAATTATTTGCAATTATTTGAAGTTATTCAATATTTTGAAAAATAAAATAATTATTGAAAAATTAAATTATTAAAATAATTTTATTCTTAACTTCAACTTAAATTTTGCCTATTTATATTTGAAAGATTCTATGTATTGATTAATTATAATGATTCAAAAATAATACATAAATAATAAAAATAATATTTGTATAGAATATATATAATAGTCTAAATTAAGTTTCAATGATGATTTTTAAATAACATGTATCTGTTAATATAAAAACATGAACAGTAATAAAAAAAAAAGTGAAAATTAAATTCAAAATGAAAAATCAAAATGATTAATTTAATAAAAATAAGCCAGTATTAAATTGATACATATTTAGGCAAAAAAATAAATATAAATTTCTGTGAAAAATATTTAAATCTACTAAAAAGAAAATAAATTAATATTATTTAACAATGTAAATTATTTATTTAACAATAAGATAAATAAACAAGTGGAAAAAAATGAATAAATAAATTTCTAAGTCTAATTTGATGTATCGTATAATTAGCAATGTGTATAAAAGTTAAATAATGATCAAAAAAAAGAAGTGAAAAAAGAAATGATAAAAAAAGTGGTAAGATAGAAATATATGTATGTAAATATACTCAGTAATGGAAGTATCAACAGAGTTGGTTCCATCTTGTTACACATTTCAGTGAATACTGAAGAAACTTAGTAGAACTAGCTTTTCACATCAGAAAACTCACACCTGCAATCTTTATTGAAACCTTCATAAAAGACGAGCTAGACAGATTTTGAACTGTAAGCAATATAAATAACCGCTATATATGCTTTTCTTAACTGTTCTGCTAGCTATTGATAATCTCTTATAAAAAAATAAGAAACAAAAGCAGAATTGTTTCAAAATTAATTAATTAATGGAAAGTAAAAATAAATGGATTTAAATTTTTTCTATTTTTATAGATAAAATTTTAATGTATTATACATTTTACATAAATTAAATAAATTAAATTATATTGAAAAATTCATTATAAATATTTATTATAACAAATTATAATTTTATTATTATTTTATACCTATATATTATTATATTATATATATATATATTGTATATATTATATTATAGATATATGTAATTTCGATATAATTCTTTAATATATTTATTTTTTTAATTTTATATTGATTTCGAAACGATATAGAATTGAAAAAACTCGTATATGTAATTTTATTCACATATTGTAAACAAATAGTACAAATATAAAAACATAATATATATTCTATTCTATTTATTTCTTCGTATATCTAAATTTAAAAATCGTCAACGAAAAATCAAACTAACCTAATCCACGCCATTTTGGATCTTCACTTTCAAATCATTTTTAAAACTACTATATTCCAAAACGTTATATTATTATTCTTCTTTACACGAATAATATGTTCTCTTGCAATTTTCCAAAATGAATTTATAATCCTTTGATTCAATCTATGAATATTAAATAATTATATGTTTCGTTCATTCTTTATTAATCTCAATAAATTTATCGATACGTTCTCAAAAGCGCGAAAAGACACGTGCTACGACTTGATGTAAACGAACAATGACAAAGCCCTATTTCCCTATTTTCTAGTCTCTTTCCCCCTCTCTCTGATGCGCGCGACGCCAGCCGTTCATGACTATTCAGAGTTTCACGCGCATTATGTTCGTTCGTTCGAGAGTCCTAAGTTTCCTCTTTTTTCGTTTGTAAGTTAATTGACCGACGATTGTTCGTCGTCATTTTTTATACGTTAAACCGGGGAATAATTAGAAAGACGTGAAAAGGATCGAGGAAACAACTGTGAGAGAAAGGAGCAGAAGGATAGGACTGCACAAAAAAAGTGAAAGAACATAAAGTTATGGAGAGAAATGGAGGTTAGGAAAAAGTAGATGAAAAATTCATTTTTCTTGAATTCACTATATCGCTCTGTGTTTGTATCAAAATACTAATTGTTTTACGTGTTATCAAAGGATTTAGATTATTTACTTTAACTTAGGATAGGACGTTTTTGAAAATTCATGTCTGTTCGAAAATGTGGAAATATGGATAGTGTTTGAGAAGTGAGAGAACCAATGCAAAGCAGAAGATGAAATGAGATGCAAATAGCGTGAATCATAGTCGAGTGAGAAATAGTCTAGCTGTGCAATATTTTAAGAAATTTCTAACAATAACGCGCGAATTTTTGAAATATTTATCTTAAGAGTTTAAAAAGAATTTATAGCAAGAAGATTTGTGATAATTCTGAAATGAAATTCATGTTTGGATTATTGATAATAGAATATTTTTAAAAATTATTTTGAACGAATACAGATACAATTTTGTAATTTTTCAATATCCTTTTCATAATGTTAATTGAATTCTATAATGTCTATAATGAATGAGAAATTAATTTAAATCTTATAATTTATCGAATGAGATTTTTATTCGATATCGAATTCGAATTTAAAGCAGTTTCTTGATCATTTTTCAGTATGTTTAATTGAGAAAAAAAAAATAAAAAAAAAAATTTTAGATGGATGAACTAGGGAATACAAAATCATACATAAAAGAGCTTCGTAATTTTCATACTCACACGCTACGTGCGAACGCAAAGAACACCACAGAAGAGCATCAAAACCGCCTATATCCGACCGATTTATTCTCACACTCTTCTCTAACATTCAAAGCCCGCTAAAAACTATCGAAAAAAGAAAAAATTGTACAAAAACGAGATTTCTCAAACAGAAAGATTTAGAGGCAAAAAAAAAAAAAAAATACATTAACATTAGTAAAACAATTTAAATATATAAAATTTTCTCTTGGATTATTTATTATTTAATCTACTATTTGATTATTTAAATTATAATTATTTTAAAATTATCATAGCTGATTAATTATTTGTTGTCCTCTTTCAAAGCGAATATATAATATTAACAACAGTTTTGAGTTTTAAATCTTATATTTAGAATTTCAAAATCTTTTGAAAACATTATTTTTATCATATGAGTAGAGTTTATATAGGAAGAAGATGTTATATAGGATGAAGATTAGAAGAAATAGAATAAGAAAAAATAAGAGAAAACATGAAACAAAGAATAAATAAATAATAAAGAAAGTTATATAGGAATTATAATAGTCAATGGATAATTAAATATTGATTATGCTTATAAAATTTTCAACTTTAATAGAAAAAAAATTGTTTTATTCTTTTTTTTAAAAATTTTTTTGAAAAACTTTTTAAAATTTTGTGAAATATTTTTATAATATAATTTTTGAAATAAAAAAAAAAAAAAGAAAAACAGATTTTCATTATTTTAATTCATTAGTTTCATTATTTTAGTTTTTAGAATTAAAGTTTTTAAAAATAAAAAAACTATGCATATTCCCAATAATTAACAATTTTTTTTTCATTAATATTTGGTTTTTACTTTGGGTTGAATCAAGATTTTACTTTAGAAGAAAATATCTTCTTCTAAAGAAAAAATCTTTTTCTTGCTAAAATTCTTTCAAAAAAAAAAAAAAAAAAAAAAAAAAAAAAAAAAAAAAAAAAAAAAAAAAAAAAAAAAAAGAAAGAAAGAAAGAAAGAAAAAAAATATTCAAAAAAATAAAAAAAAAACTCTTACTTAAATAACTTAAATAAAAAAACTCTAAAAAGCTAAATTAAACAAAGGAGAAAGCCAAATCTACACTTAAAATTGATAAAGAATTTTGTTCTTTTTTCTGAAAAAATTTCAAACAGCTTTTATGAAAACCGCATTTTTAGCTCCTAACAATTTTTCCCTTCTTTTCCTCAAAAAAGCTTTTTTCGAAAACTTCGTACTACATGGTCCTCAAGGTGAGAAAAGAAGAGAAACAAACGAGAAACACGGGCGTGCAGAGAGGGGGAGCAGGAGGGAAAAAATGGAACAGAGGAGTGACAGTGTGTCTTCGGTTTAAATATTCAGGGAAAACGGGACGGTGAAACGCGACGGTGAGTAGATAAATCAAAAAGAGAGCACACAGGAAGTCGTAGTAAATAACGGGGCGACGAAGCGTGGAACTGGCGAGGAAAAGAAAAATGCGCCGAGTGGAATGGGGCCGTGGCCATTGAAAGAAACAGACACACATGAAAATATCAGGCCGTTGTACACGTCGCATAATTAAGTTTCAAGGAAAAGTCTTAACCCTTTGCCTGGCGAGGGATCTGCTTCGTAATCGGCCAATTCGAAGTCCCGTGTTCAAGCTTTTTTAAACAGAGATATACGTATTAAGCAAATGCATACAGTATGTATATATGCTAGAGAATTATTCGTATCAACTGGGGAGTGATCTCTTTTAAATTAAACCAAGTAATTTCGTATGAAACAATATATCTGCTGTATTTCTTTAACACTTGAGCTCTCGGTCTTTCTTTGTCTTTCATTTTAATTACCACTTTTTATGATCATCAATGTTAGATAAAAAAAAAAGCTCGAGTTTCAGCTATTATTAACACTACTAGGTTAGTAAGTATATTACATACTGAATATATACTACGTATATATTTATATAATTGTATCTTTGCTGTATTTACAATTGGATCTAAAAATTAGAAAATCGTATAAATTTATTCACTGATTAATTACATGCTCACATGTTGTAAAATGTGAAACTTTCAACATAATTTTCTCAACAAATTTCACTTCTGCTCTCGTTAAAACCAAAATGTTCATACAGCAATATTTATTCCAATTTGCAGTAAATTATGCAATTATATATTTTGAAAGAACGATAACTATAATGATAAATATAGTATCACAGATTATTAATATATAATATATTTATAAGGAATAATCTCAAATTCTAGATTTAAAAAATAAAATTTTATGCCAAAGAAAATAAAATCTTGTAAAGCAAAATCAAGAATTAAAATTTGAGAAAATTTTAATACAAGATAATAATATTAATTTTTCATATTAATGAATAATTCTAAAAAATAATAAATAATATTCTTTAAATAATATTAATTTTTAATGATACTTATGAAATTGAAGTATATATTGTCACATTTTTATACAATTTTCCTTAATCCTTTCTAGATAATATAAGAATCTTATCTTGGATATATTTGAGATAAAAATATTGCCTTGTTTATTTCATCTGACATAGTAAACAACAGCTTAAGTATAATATAATTAGAGTCTCATAAAACGTGACATCCACATGTAAATTTAATTTCTTTCTCTGTATTTATTTCGTACATTTTTAGATTATGTTATATCTATATATATAGTAATCTACGTAATAATATAGCGAGATCATAAAATCAGACGAGAGAATGGTCGGAAATCTGAAGAAAATTCGAAACCACAATCAGTCATGGTAATGTGAAACTGTTATCTTTTATATTCGTACTTACTTCTTCTATTGCCATGAATTTTTTCTTTCGTGTCTTTTATATTACTTTCCTCCCATTACTTGATATCTTTCTTCGTGCCTTCTTCATTCTTTTCCTTTTTCCAGAGCTGTGAAGTCGAAATTAGAATCGCAAAAATAACGACTCTGTTCTTTTTTTTTCTTACTATGTTTTTTACAGCTATATCTTTCCTTCTTTATATTTCTCTCTTATTATTATTTTTTTTTAATTTTCTTTTATTACTTTTATATTTTATATCATTTAATCTTGTATTATAAAATTCATAAAATTTATTGATTCAACAAAATTCAAGAGCATATCATAACTCGATGAAAAGCTTATGTCTCAAGTGTTACAATAATTAATATATCAAAGATTATGAATTTGCAATAATCTGAACTACAATTTATAATACTTGAAACATAAACTTTCGATCAACTTATTATTATACCTCTATTATAATTAAAATAAAGCTTTTATTTTTAATATATGTGCACACATAAAATGTTTTTTCTTTATATACGAAAATTCCTCCCCTAATATCTGTCGTTCTTTTATTATTGAAATTCCCTCTCTCTTAAAAGGGAAGATAGTCCCTCGTTACTAAAATTCTTTCCAAAATTCCTTACAATGGAATTCCTTTCTGGAATACAGAAATTTGTCAAGGTCTTAATCTGATGGATTATTTGATACCAATGATTTGGAATTAACATTTTTCATAGAATTAATCTAGCAAAAAGAAGTCTTTGGAAGAAAATTTCTAAAAGTGTGAATGATAATCAAGTAATTGACTAAAGTAATTTAAAAGAGAAGAGTTATTAATGATATTAGTAGATGGATGTTCTTTCTCAAAAATACAATAACGAAAAAGATGGAAGAAATAGAAAAGAAAAGAAGAAGGGGAGGGGGGAGTGCAGAATAAAGAAAAAGATTGAGTGAACAGAAGAGAGAGTTAAAAATTTCGAGTGTATGTAGAACAGCTTCAGATACACATCACTGGAAAATCGAAGACGCAGGGAATGGATTCAAATACCCGTGAAAAGTATCATTCATGTGGGCCATCCATCTTTTCTCGAACCTCTCAGCTTAACCTAGAGAGATGCTTAACCTATCATAGTATGTAAGTAGTACTTGGTTGCAGCCAAGTGTCCCTTTGCTGCCTGGAATCCATCGTTTTTTAAATATGATATATAAATGTGTATACTAAGTTTTTATGATATATCGAGATCGTAAATTATTATATATCCAGCGGTATCGATAGATCTTGAAATGATACTATTGATAACGTTAAAGTCGTGTGTATTTTTTAGCTTTTTCAAATAGGAATACTTTTTAGAATAAAAAATTCCAAACAATGAAAAAGAAAAATTGACTAACTTTGATTTAATATTTTAAAGCAATTTTTCTTAATCTATTATCAATCCGAATTATATCATTAAAATAATAATTTAATTTAAGTTTTTATAAAGATTTTTTCAAAATATATTTTACTACGAGAATGATGAGAAAACTTTTAAAAAATTTATATGAGAATAAATTCTATAAATATTTTATTATATTTCATTAAAATCTCGATATAAATTATGAATTTTCATAAAGATAGAATAAATATCTATGAAGAAGGAAATTAAAATACTCTGATATATAAGAAATAAGAATATTACTGATATTTCCAAAAATTGTGAAAATAATTTTAGAATTTTTAAAAAATATGAATTTTATAATCAAAGAATATATGTACAATATGTATATCTATTAATTTTGTCTTTGAATTTACACTCTAATTTTTATACGAAACTGATCGAAGGGATAATAATCGCCTCTTATGCAATTGCAATTAAAATCTTTATATTCTGTAAACTATAAAAAAATCGTTTTATTATTATTATTTATTAGCATTAAATTTTAGCATTCATTTACTTTTTTTCCTCTTTAATTTATATCAAATCAAATAATTATAACCTCGATACTAAATTCGAAGGCGTGGATAATTGCGGATTCGCCGTTACGTAACTTCGTTTCCCGTTGCATTTGCAAACAGCGCTCTCTGACGACTGCTAATAACGTTGTTTATATTTAAAGGCATGCAACTGACTGTTTACCTTCGTTAAAAGGGACGAGATATCATTCCACTTAATCCAAAAAAAAATTTTTAGCATATTGATGACATTCCATGTTTCTTCATGTAAAAATAACCATTCTGACTTCCACACATCCACGGCGTGAAACGTTTTTTAATTATCAGCAATGTGAGGGAAACGATTGCCGCGGAATAGGTAAATTTGCGCACGCACTACTATTGCCTTTTCGACTCGGTTGGTAAACAAAGGTACAAATTAAAAAGTGACTAGCAGCACGAAATACAGAGGTACAAAGAAATTTTTTATTCGTCCGTCGAGATTTTTTCTCAAATATTAATTGAATCTTCGATTACTGTTTACTTTCACTTCGAATAAAAAATGAAAGAATTAAAAAAAGAAGAAGGTTAGTACTTTCAATGATAAGAATATATGATCGATCTTAAAAATTGAATTGTAATGATGTAATTTTCAGTGAGCATTATTTTAATATTGTTAACAAATGGAAAACTTTAAAATGAGTGATAAATCGAATTGCATATAATAAAAATAATATTATAACATTTTACAAAAATGATATTAATCTAAATCTTTATTAGTTTCAATTATAAATTAATCAAAAATGTGTAAAATTTTTAAATAGAAATAGAATATTGTTAAGTCTTTCTGGTAAATATAAAGAAACATAATTTAATCATAGATTTGATCATAGATCAGCTATTGTTAAACAACGTCGATCTATATTGTCCTGTGCCAATACTCCATGTACTCCTATTTGCGATATACGTGATACTATAATCTATAGTATCAAGAATCACGATATACCATGTCTCTCTGAGGCAATTTACTATTGTAAACCATTACTATTATGATATTTTATCATAGAAATGATATGCTGATTTATGCAAATCTTGTTCAATGATAATACATTACAATTAATCAACAATTTATACTATTTTGGAAAAATAATTATTCTCTATATATCATGTAATAAATAATTGGTTTTTATTTTAATAATTAGTAACAAAAATCTATTTGTAACAACCATTTAAGGAAATTAATTATAAAAAAAGATTATTTATAAAATTACTGTTTTAATTTAACATAGAAAAGAAAAAACACTAATTAAAGAGATATATTTTTTCATATGATTTTCAATGAATAATAATTATTTTTATATTTTTATTTCTATACAATTTAAAAAATTACTAAAAATAAATTTATTCTTTCTCTCCCTGTAAAATTTTCAATTCATCCTTTTATCATAAAAATTTTATGAATCGCAAAAATCCTTCTCAGTACTTCACCCTACATATATCCTGTTTTAAACTTCAAATCATTTGAAACCAATATCCTCAAAACTTTAAACTACTCGCTAATTTCAACCACCATCATTCCCTGAACCTTCATCATGCTCGAACATTCCACACTTAACCACCATCCCATTCCACGCAGAAATTCAATCAACTCAGCCAAATTCCCTTACCGTATCACCCTACAAAAATATCACCATTCATCAACAGTCACTTTTTCCATCCCTCTGGCACGCGACATAATTCACCGATAAACCAACCTATCATCGTTCATCCTGCGCCACTTCATTTTATACGCGGTCCGTATCGTGGCTTACCGAGTCTCTTTCTGCTCTAAAAGCAGTTAACACGTTTAACTTGGATAATGTCGTGATAACCGAAACCGGATGAACGGTCGATAAATGACTGATATCTTAATCTCTTAATGCTACGTATATGTAATATGCAGGACGAGCACCCTATAACTTGATGACTTTAAATGCAGGCCATATCTGGTCAGACCACATAATATTATATATAGAGTTAATATACAGGATAGTATACGGAGATGAGATAAATAGGAAATGAAATAAGGAATTAAATTTCTAGAACAATGGTTGTTATTATTTTTGAATTTACGAAACACTTTTATTTATAAAAAAAAATTTACGAAATATCAAAATTATTGAGATAATAAAATTTCTAACCATAGAATTATAAAAAAATTTTAACCAGTATATGGAACATTTATATTAGAATTGAAATAAAATTTGTCGAAAATGAAGTTATTTCTTTCTATCGCCATCTTGTTTCATCAAATTATTTATAATTTGAAAAATAAATTTGAATAAACATACCAAGAGTTTAGATTTATTCTAATCTCTAAAATATCTATTATTTTTTTTACCTCACGAATAGAAGATAAATAATAAAAGTTAAATAACTAGGTTTGTGACGTAGAAGGGATTATTTTTGACAAAATTTGTTTATTTTGATTTTATACATTCTTCAGCTATTTTTTTTATGTTTAAAAAAATATTTACAAAAAAAAAAAAATCAAAACTTTGAGAGTCATATTAAAATTAAGAATCAATATCTCTTTCGCACAACTGTAAAGATAGTAAAGTTTTTAATTTTAGCAAAATGAATTTCTGGATTCTTTTTACATCAGAAAACGTAATAAATGTTTTTTATATAATAAAGTTTTAAAAGTGTTAATTTATAATCGAAAAACTTATTTTTCCATAAATATTGCTGAATCACAGAATAATGCATCGCAATGATTTATTAATTAATAAGAATCTAGAAAATTCTTTCAAAAAAAAATTTATCCAAGAATATAAATGAAACTCGTATATCCGTCGATCCGCACGATTTTTTCCGAATCTACCCGATTCTTTCCGAACTCGCCCGAGTACGAAATATCAGATACCCGCATACTCGTGAAATTTTCCAATCTTCAATCAGGTTAAACTTGTTTACAAAAAGGGTTATGGATATGTAGAATTAATATATTTCAATTTACGACAACTTCAAATTAATATATATCTTGTATCGTTTTAAATATAGTCGTATAACCTCTTCTTCTCGATCGAACGTGTTAATTCCTCTTGAGAAAGAGGCTTTTAGTTTCAGAAGGAGGATTTATCAAAGTGGTATTGAGAAGAATGAAGAGTGAAATTTTGAACGTTGGGTGTGCACACATATGCGCATGGGCCACTTTTGATCCCAGCACATTGATCACATTCTCTGGAGGCCTACTCGCGTTCGTAGTATGCGATCCATGGATTCTCTGGATGTTTATAAACGCCAATAACACCGAAGAATTTAATGGGAATCGCTTCAACAATTTCGATCTCGATTCGTTTTCATCAGTTTATAGAAAATTAAAAGGATGGTCAAGGGAATGAAATCTGAGAGCGAAAAAGTTCATGGAATTATCTAACAAGTGGAGGATTCATTGATAATACGATGAAATGCTATACTGGAGAATATTGCGAAGCGCTATCGTACATATCTATGTATAATGAAATATCAAACTCGATACTCAACAGAGTGCTCGAGAAGTTATATTCACACAAAATATTAAAAAGTTTTAATTTTTGTCTCTAAAAATAAAAATATAATTTTCTTTGTTTTAATTATAATTTCCATAAAAATCTTTAATATTTTTATTTTCGATTCACAATAGAAAATTAAATAAAATTTGTATCGGTATTCTCAAAATGATACGAACTTTTTATGTTTTCTGTTTGTTAATAATCTTTCTTTTAATTTTACTCATATTAAAAAAAACCGTCATATCTTTCTGAATTCTTTATCCTTCTTCATCTTGTGCAACTAACTCTTAATAATGTTCCATACCAAGTTTAATAATTCACTTTCTTGCTCGAATTGACCGTTTTTTTCAACAGTTCATTATGAAACTTATGAAACTTTTAACAATTCATTAAGAAATTTTTTAATTTTCACAGATATTCCTACAAGTATCGGCGGTAACATTTTAGTTATCTATTTTTCATTAATATCTACTTTAATATCAAATTAGTTGAATTCAAATAACTCGATTATTGTAAACGAAATTTAATAAAAAAGAAATAATATACGCATAATTTTCCAATTCAATTTACAACAGAAATATTAAAACCTCTCATCTCATTGATTATGAAAAACTGATTCCTGATGCTTTCCAAGTTTAAAGAAAAAATA